TTGAGTCTGCAGTCTTCCAAATGCTCCTCAATTTTCTTGGCTGCATACGCAATCGGAGAACGGCCTACCACTCAGCTGCAAACGGCATGGCCGAGCGTTTCCATCTTCAGTTAAAGACTGTCCTGCATGCCGCAGAAGACCCAGGAAACTGAACAGACAACCTGCACCTTGCATTTCTCAGCAGGTGCGCAGCTCTGAATTGGGATTCGGACTGCCGCGCATCTGAATTGGTTTTTGTCCCTACCCTCCGACTGACAGGTGAGATGGTCGCCCCAACCTCCCGTGGTGCCGACGAGAACCCTAACAATTCTGTGCGCCGTCTGCTGCACTTTATGTGCTCGCTTTCTCCGATTTCATTTCGAACTCTGACGACCGAGTCTTTTGTCACAAAGAGGATTGGGGAAAAACGCTTATGTGTTACCTTGTGCGCAAGCCACTGGGATTACCATACGAAGAACCGTCCCATCTGGTCGCATACAACAGCAAGACCTGCCGGATCTTCCGCGGGGACAAGAGGATGTGGTCAGCGTCGACTGAGGCAATGCTGCTGTTGCAGAGGCGAGAAATGACTTCTGAATTCCGGTTTATCGCTCAACGTCCTAGCACCCAGGGAATTTAAATGCGGCATCGGTGTGAGGTTTCTTTTAATGCGGTGATGGCGTTCGAATTGGACCAAGACCAATACTAGGACTTTCAAATAATTCGGTATCTTCCTCACTTGCGATAGCCTCATGTTTTGATAAGAAACTTGCTTATTTCAAAAACTGGTGGGCCGGGAGCATTCTAGGATCTCTTGCCTCAACGTTCGGCGTCTCCTAAGAGCGCAGTCACCTGTTCTCTACGGAAATCCGTGGGCCAATGGAATACCATCAACGCCGCTCATTCGATCATTGAAACTCCGTTCTAATAGAGCGTAGCCGAGGACGCCGTCGTAATTGAAATTCATCAACTATGGATTCTCTTCTCCGAGGTACCAAGTGGTGGGCTTTGGCTGAATATTAAACTAAAGCGGATAAGTGATCTGGCAGACTAAAATATTCGATATCAATGGTTTGTCTTAATTGTAGGAATCAGTATTTAAAGGGGTGGAAGCTAACGACAAAAGGATATTACTCCGCACCTACAATTTCATTGGTCGTGCGTCCGGACAACGAGGTTGATTAATCAGCGCGACGATTTGACTGCTGTCAATATGGACAACGTCGTCTAAATATGTTCCGAAAGACGTCACATTTTCTAAAGCCTGTGTACGATCTCATAGCCCATTTAGAGTCTGTTGATGTGGAATTTGATAACGCTTAGGAGAGATAAGGTCCTTAAAGACAAAACAAGTAAGGAAGTGGGTAAACAGTTACCACATACTTTGTTTAGAAATGTATGTTCGATCTAAGGAAATGTGAAGTTACAAAAATCGTCGCATTTGCGTGAAGATGTCGGCGCATAAGTGAGGCATCCAAGTGTACTATCCATTTCGGCAAATACCAGACGGATTTTGGAATCCAGGCGGTTCGACTGTAGTCAGCATGCTTAACAATTAAGGAAAGGGTTTGTCAAAGTCCACTTGTGTAGGATATCTATAGCAACCGTTGCGTGACCTGATAAACGGACGTCCGAATTCTGCAAAAAAATATGAAAAGACAAATGATATTAATATAATTCCATAGTACATTAGAAGTGAGATTTACTCTTATCCAGGGAGTAGAAAAAGTATGTGCAAATGTGCTCGAAAAACCGCACTTGAGTAAAAGCATAATAGACTGTGGCGGTCAAGGATGTGAGATCAACTTAAACCACGCACAGTAAGTTCGTTTCGTGTGCTGTCAGAAGTCAGGGAGCTGTGAGGACTAGTTTATTCTGTACACAGGGCAGGTTGCCGTAAGTTGGCGATTTGCTTGCAACAGAGAAAAGCGTCCATTCTCGGAGAGCGTCAGTCGCGGTGTATTGTTTACGCAGGCGTGAGTGTCTGGGTCAGCAGAAGGGGTGACTGGCTGAGTGTTGGTCTTGTGATTGGACAAATAAGGGGAGGAATGGAGGTCGCATAATCATAAGGCCTCACGAGAATCAAGCCAAAGCGTTCGACGCGCGTTAGGTGATACTATTTTGTGAGGGCAGCCGGGAGTCACGGCAGCTGGACAGGAGGGGCACCAGTTCTAGCCGGTGTGGGTGGTCGTGTGTCAGCGGCCTGTCAGTGCTTATCGCAGCCATTGACCGACAAAACTGGGCCTGAGAAAAGGGGAGCTGGAGCGGCGGCTGCAAGACGCTATTAAAATGCAGAAAATGTTCTAGAATTCGGATTTATGTTTTGAAAGCAAAAAAGAAAACACAATTCGGTAATCAGCAAAACTGACGTTTAAGTGTTGTCATGGGAAACAGTTGAGAGAAAATTTGATAATTGGGCACACGTATTCTTTTACATTTCTTCTGCAATCTGATGAAGGACGTACTGTTGAAAAAGCAGTGCGCAAATTTTAAAGTAGCAAGATGCTGTCATAAAGGCGGTTTAATTTGCTACAATGCCAGCAAAATGAAGTGTTTGTGAAGTAGGATCAAAGATCAGAACAGCATCTTCCACATGTTTTCGAACCATTAACTGGTAGCTGCTCGTACTTCATGAACGTTAAGGGATGATTTAGAAGAATGTTATTGCCAACTCAATGGCACATTGACGAATAGCACTGTGGGTACAGCCTCATAAATAGGAAGTAAATTTGCCGAACATACACCCGATATCTCATCTATCGCACCGAACTCATTCGGGTTATTGTGAAGCTGTGCGCAAATGTTGATAGGAATTAAGTCAGTCATACGTGCACTAATACGTAAATCCGTACTAAGTAGTATCCAACTGAGGGTGGGTCTGGTCTCTCTGATGTCACAATTGTGAACGACTCACAGCAGCGTTACCCATAGATGACAGTCTTTCTAACCGGGACGATCCTAGTTCTGTGATAGTGCTGCAGGTCCTGCAAATGCTTACAGTGAGGAGACTTAGTTTTCGAAAGCAGCCGGGTCGACTCCATTTCCACACTCTCCATCTCTCATTTCCATTCTCCATTGTCCATTGTCGGAGTCAAGCTGCCTCGGGTTGAGGCTGCGTGCAGTGAATTTTGCGATGTGAGCGTTCATCTAACGTATGCCGCATGCACGTACCGAAACAGATGGATGCACGAAGGGAGTCATCTCAATTAATTTACCAGAAATATCCGTATCGAAACAAGAGCATTTCAAATGACGCACCATGCATATTACATTGTGCAAATTACTAAGACGCAATCTTGGCAGATTCCATCTATAACCGTTAGGAACACGCTGTCACAAAGAAACGCCTCTTTCATTCGACGCGCCTTGGAACCCGATGCTTCCGCTTAAAGAAACGAAACGCCGTTCCAAGAAAAATATCTTTAAAGACAGATGTTTACTTTAAAAGGATGTCTTGGGCTTCTAAAATTTAAGTGAGCACAGACATTTAAATCTTACAGCGAAATAAAATTACACCTAAATAAATGTGCTGTCAAGGTAGGGAATAATTAAGGGACGATATAGGTGGGCAGTCCTCAGAATGCTCAGTAGTGATTGGTGGAACATTTTCGTGCAAGCCGCGACGGCTTTGGGGGTACTCTCGAGTGCAAATTTCGTGAAATTGGGTTTGAATGATATTTCCAATAACTGAGAGACCCGGAAGATGACATTAAGTTAGTCGGTCAATTGAGAATGTTGGTAAAATAAGAAGTTATTATATAGTAACTCGCTTTAGAAGTTTCACGCAGCTCAGATATCTAGTTAGTTATTTAGTATGACTAGTTAATGGGTTGGCATAGTTAGTTAGTAAGTAAGTCGGTTGGGATGTCAGCTAGTTGGTAAGTTAGTTAGTTGGTTAATTGGTTGTATAGTTAGTTGTTTAGTTAGTTAGGTGGTTAGTTGGTATAGTTAGTTAGTTGGTTAGTTAGTTAACTCATAAGTTAGTTTTCTAGTTAGCTATTTCGATAAATAGTCAGCTGGTTGGTTATTTAGTTAATTAGTTGGTTAGCATAATGGGTTAATATTGTTAGCACAGTTAGTATATGGTCACTCGTCTCAAAACTTTCGCGCATTTTACCCAAACTTTAGATTTTTCACGGCTTTTGGCTTCCACTGGTCCGTCCAGGAACGTCATCGGTTAGATATGGCGATGAAGATGTGCCAATAATTTAACCTACATAACTGGTGAAGTGGACGACAAACGGTCGATATTTATGATAGTCAGTTGGAAATTCCATTAGTTAAAGGCAATTTGCTATAGAACTATAACTCTGATTACCATATTCCAATGCTTCTCTAGCATGCTATAATTTGTTGTCTGTTTCTTTCAGCTAATCAACGTTATATTTGTCCGTTTACGTATTGGCTTTTGGGTTCCGCGCTCTATTAAATTTCCTCCGCAAGTGCGTCAACTAAGGAATGCCCGCCAATGACCTTTAATAGAGCGCGGAACCCAAAAAACCAAAACGTAAACAGACAAATGAAAAGTTGATTAGTTAAAACAAACACATGGCAAAGTACAGTATGTTAGAGAAGCATAGGAATATGGTAATCAGATTAATAGTGCTATACAAATTGTGTTTCTGCTGCTTGGTGCCATTGTCTCCTTGATTGCACTCAGTCGCCTCAATCGCTTTTAGTCAGTTGACACGAAACGTTTATATATTTTGGCCATATTTAACTGGATGTAAATCCAACTGAATGACACGCCTTGTTAACTGACTTCGTCTACGGATTTTACCCAGAGCATTCGCCCTACGACCAACGATTTTGGAGAAAACTTTATTTTTCGAGAGTCTGTACAATTGTTTACGTTTTGCCGTTTTTCTTGCACACTTTTTGCCGTCGTATTTATATTGTAAGAAACGCAGCATCCGCCACTTAGACTTCAGTATTTATTATTTTTCGTAGATTTAATTGTTGTTTACACCACAAAAGTGGTGACTCTGTTTTTCTATGTCTACGCAACCTCTTTTTTACTATGACCGATAGCCAACCTATAACAGACTATCTCGACGTCAATACCCTCTCCGTCAAACTATTCCCTTTCCCACCGAGCAACATGCGGGTTTCGTTTCGTCAGATTGAGGCGGTTATCTCAATGAGCCGCATTTCTAGCGAAAGCACCCGATACTCTTATGTCATGCAGATTCTTCCCTTTGACGTCGCCATCGATGTCGACGACCTCCTCGACCCCATTCCTGCCAACGACCCGTACACCCAGTTACAGAACGCCGTCATTCAGAGAGTGGCTAAGTCGACCAATCGGATGCTACGGGAGTTATTCACGCAGGTAGAACTGGGTGATCAAACACCTGCGCAGCTTATGCGCCACCTGCGTACATTGCTGGCTGCACGTCATATGGACGACGATATCTTTCGACAGATCTGGTTGGATAAATTGCCGGTTCCCATACAGCAGTTTTTGGCCATGTTGGAAATTAGCACCTCTCTGGACAAAATGGCCAATCACGCCGGCGGGACAAGTGAATGTTACCCAGTCGGCGCGATGTGCGCCAACATTCAATTGACCTCGACTCCCGACAGATCTGATAGAGTAGCCATTTCCTGTCCAGAAGGCACTCCTTCACTAGAACGCGACACTTCATGTGTGGAGCAGTCAGTCTGTCGTTGCTCATAACGCAGAGCCACCACGCCACCAGGGACATCATGACAGCCGAAAAGTCCTCGCCGAGGCGACTATGACGACGTAAAAGAAATTGTACGTCAATGCTGCACACAAGTAATCACCATGTGCACTGGTATAAATAGGGTACAGTCGGCCAGAAACCAGTCACCCTCGCGCCGTCGTTCTTGATCTCGTGAACGTCCTTCTACAACTCTGTGCTGGAATCATCGTATTTACGGTCCGGAAGCATGCAAGTGCATTCCTCCCTGCACATACCTGCAGGCCTCACCAAAGGGAAACGACCGCGTCAGCCAGTAACGGCGACAGTTGCCGCTGGCCAGTCATGGCCCAGTTGACTCTTTTATATCAGTGACAGGTCGAGCGGCCTCCGTTCCCCTGTCGATACTGGTGCCGAGATTAGTGTCATCCCGCCTCCAAGGTGCCACCATCTCAAGCCTTCGCAGTTTTCATTGAAGGCAGCCAATAGCACCACCATCAACACTTACGGTCATCGGTTGCTCACACTTGACATCGGTCTTCGGCGAAGTTTCCAGAGGGTCGTTGTGCAGGCCGACTATAAATCTCCCATTATTAAGGAAGATGTCCTGACACATTTTGGCCTTGCAGTCGACCTCACGCATCGCAAACTTGTCGATACCACAAGCACAATCTTAACTTTGGCACAGTTGCTTCGGAGCCGTCGGTTAGCATCCAGGTGACCGTACCAAGCTCGCCTTTCGCCGACATTTCGAAGGACTACTCGTCCCTCACTAAACCCTGTCAGTTCAGGGGGGAAGTTCAGCATACGTTTACACACCACATCATCACCACAGGACAACTTGCTTATGCTCATTCTCGTCGTCTTCACCCCGAAAAACCTCGGACAGTAGGGAAGAAATTCTTTGTCTCATTCAAAGTTGTGCAAAGTTTTTTAAAAAGCGTATTATAACTGACTAAAACAAGGCGGAATTAAATGTCACAACACATGATTGGAGACCATGCGGCGACTATCGCGTTCTTAACAGAGCCACCATTCCTGTCCGATATTCTATTCCCCATATACATATTGTCTCTCGCGCGCTTGCTGGAAGAACTATTTTTTTCCATAATAGACCTCGTGAGAGCATACCACCAGATTCCGGTCGAGGAAGAAGACCTTTCCAAGGCCGCCGTCACAACGCCTTTCGGCCTGTTCGAATCCAATCGCATGTCCTTTGGTTTGCGCAACGCGGCCCAATCCTTCCAACGTTTCATCGATGAGGTCTTGCGAGGTATATTATTCACTTGTGTCTACATTAACGACATACTCGTCGCACGTTCTCCGGCAGAGGAACATGCCTCGCACTTACGTCTGATATTCCAACGTTTCCAACGAGATCGTCTGCAATTAAACGTTGACAAATGTGTCTTTTGCGTCTTTTCTCTAGATTTCATTGGTCAACACGTCGACCAGCATGGAACCACACCGCTGCTAGAGAAGGTGCACAGCATCCAGTCATTCCTTGTCCCCAAGACTCTAACTCAGCTGCGGCGTTTCATAGGCCATCACAACTATTATCGACTTTTTATCCCTCACTGTCCGAGGACCCTAGCTACCTTACCTGATCTTCTAAAGTCTAAAGCAAAACCGATCGAACTTTCTTCAGCAGCTAACGCAGCATTTTAGGCAGCTTAGAAAGCTCCTGCTGATGCCACTTTGCTTCACCATCTCAGCTTCAACCACCACGCACAGCTGATCTTGACCACTGACGCTTCCAAAGGGCTGCCGGAGCAGTCCTGCATCAACAAGTAAATAACCAGTTGCAGCCATTGGCTTTCTTTTCACAGAAGCTTAAACCGGCGCAGACTCGCTACAGTACTTTATCTCGTAAGCACCTTGCCATCTACTCGACCATTCATCATTTTCGACACCTCTTAGAGGGAAAAGATTTTTTCAGTTCACACCGACCATAAGCCTCTCACTTATGCTCTCAGGGCCAAGCCAGATCGGTACTCGCCCGGGGAAGTTCGCCATCTGGAATACATATCGCAGTTTACTGCAGATATCCGCCACGTCCGAGGCAACGACAATGTCGTTGCTGATGCATTATCCCGCCCGGACATCAACACACATCCGATTTCGACCTGGCGAAGCTTGCAGACCTCCAATCGGGCGAAAGGTCCATTGACGACCTGCGTGCTACTACTACTCTGCAGCTTCCAGATGCACCACTTTCCGCATCACCAGGCACGACTTTGTGCGACTGGTCCACAGGCACTCCTCGACCTGTTGTTCCACTATCCTACCGCAAGACAGTATTTGACTATTTCCATTCCCTGTCACATCCTGGCATCCGCGCTTCTCAAAGGCTAGTCGCCGCTCGTTTTATCTGGCCGCAGATTAACTCTGACATCGGCCTTTGGACTAGGCAGTGTTAAGCCAGCCAGAAACATAAAGTACACCACCACACACTTTTTCCACAAAGTTCTTTCGCCGTTCACTTTGTTCGATTCCACCACGTCTACTTGGCTTTAGTTGGCCCGCTACTTTATTAACGCGTGTACGCTCATATTCTCACAGCGGATGGCGTTTCACACAATGCCGATTGCATTTCCCATCTCGGATACGTCGGCAGAAATATCGCAATGGGTTTTCTGACGCACTGGATTTCAACTTTTGGTGTTCCGGCCACCCTTACTACTGACCGCGGGTGTGCATTCCAATCTAGCCTTTTCCGTGAGTCCATAAAACTGCTCGGGTGTGCACACATCAAAACCACTGCATACCACTCTGCTTCCAACAGCGTCGTGTAACGTCTACACCGTCAACTCAAGTCTGCACTGATGTCCCAAACAAAATCAGCTTCTAAGGGTGATAATCTCCCTCCTACACTTTTGAGCATCCGATCTTCTGTCAAGGAGGACATCCAACGCGCTGACACTGGACTTCTGTATGGTACAATCCTCCGTCTGCTCGGCGAATTTTTGCAGTCTTCAACGACGAACACTAGCATCCCGAGCACCATCGTCCAGCAGTCGAAACAACGCATGGCTCAACTGCGTACAATTCCCACTCTTCTGACATCCAAACGCCTGTTTATGCATGAGGACCTTAAATCTGCCCCATTCACTTTCGTCCGGCATGACGCGGTTCGCAAGTCTCTTTGTTCCCCGTATGATGGCACACAAAATATTCTTCAGCGGATGGAGAAGTATTACGTCATTAAGGAGGCCGACAAAACTGACACAGTCTCTATTGACAGACTTAAGCCAGCCTATCTTGAATGCATCCCGCTGTCAGTTATGCCACTCAGTTCCTCTGCATGCTCCGCACTCGATCCACCCGTTTCGGTCCCCTCCACCAAACCACCACACTTGACCACCCCACCCACCCATCCTGATTCTCCTTCCACTGCACCACGCACCTAATCTCGTGCTGGTAGACATATTCATTTTCCTGTCAAATTAAATACTTTTTGATGCAGCTTTTTCATTTTTTATCGAGTGTTTTTTCGTACAACAAACGCTTTGTTGGGAGGAGTTAGCTAGGTTTACGCACATTTTCGATTTTTCCCTTTTATCTTTCTTGTACACCTGAATGTTGCTGTACGGTTGTTTAAATTAGCTAAAGCACAAACTTGGTCTCGGCTTGTAAAGAAAACGCGAATTGTGTGTCCATCTGCTACTTGGTGTCATTGGTGTCATTTGCCTCAGTCGCTTTCAGTCAATCGACACGACACTTTTATGTGTTTTGGCCGTATTTAACTGGATGTAAACCCACATGAACGACACACCTTGTTAACCGCCTTCGTCTCGGGCTTTCAGAAAAGAATAGGTTTATTGAATCACCCCTTGGGCACTGTCAGTCCCCTTTGGACTCAAGAAAAAAAACCAAAGGAAACTCATCAATTTAAACCGCTGTTTGACTTCATTTGTTTCGGGTGTTTGTTTAGCCAAAAGAGCGCGAATTGAGAGTTTGTATTAAGTTAAAAAAAACTATGTTCTAAGGGAAAATAAAAACAAAAGTTTTAAAAATAGCGATATTTGCAACATAGCAATTGAAGTTTGCGGTTTCGTAGTTTTCGGGGACATGAACAATATTTCCTTTATGGAAATTGAAGAACTTTGATATCGGCCTGACCTTGAAATTATTTTCCTGTTGGGCAAATTTTCTATGTGCTCTAGTTGCTGGTTGTTAGTCTATCTGGCCAGCTGTAAATGGGCGGTCGCACAGTTCCTACGTGGTTTCCAGGAGTCTTACCATCGTTGACTGGACTAAGAGCTGGGAATGATGAATATTGTAGCGGCCGAGGACGTCAAGGGTAGCACACACCAAGGTAAGGAAACGCTGAGAGTAGATCCTGGAGGAGATAGATCTGAGCATTATAATGGATATTAAGTGTCGGGTGACATAGCTGATGGAAACGAGAAAGGGAGGAAAGAAAGAATATCACTATCTGTTCTATGTTTATCAATGATGCTATGTTTTATAAATTTGAATATTTTTAGTTCAGTCAGTCAGTGAATTTGAGGGAAATAGGCTTACGCCTTTGAACTCCCTATTTGTACATAAAAAATCGATAAACAAGCAAAAATGTGAAGAAATTACAGCATTAAGTGAATGCATACATTGATTCACATATGTCGCTTGTCACATGGCTAAAAAGTCACATAGTCCGCTTGTTGCTTCAGCATAAATCTGCCAAGGCGACATTTAAATGTCTCCACAGATTGAGACATAACAACCGTCTCGGGCAGGTTATTCCACGGTTCAGCGACACGGTTGGAGAAGAAATATTTTCTCACATTCAGTCTACCCTGTGGCACACGTAGCTTGAAAGGATGTCCCCGGAGGTGAGTTGTAGTGGCGAGTTGGAAAAAAGTCATTGCGCCGAAGGGTACAATCCAAGCCGCGCACGATACGGAAAGTTTGTATCATGTCTCCGCGCAACTGCCTATAACTCAGAGGATAGAGATTAAGGTTAGTTAAGTGGATCTCATATGGCAGTGCACTTTGACCTCTTATTAATTTTGTTGTTCGTCTCTGCACCCGTTCGAGCAGATCGTAATCCTGATGCGTCCACGGTCTCCAGGCCTGAATTGCATATTCGAGATGGGGCCTTATAAACGTGCTGAAGACTTTGGTGAAGCAGTCTTCATCGAAAACTACGAATGCCCGCTTGATGGCATATAGCATTGAGGTTGCGGCCTTGGCCGCCTTACAGCATTGCGTAGAAGGCTTTAGGCTGTCTGAAACCCAAACTCCGAGATCTTTCTGAGTTTCTGCTTTGCGGAGTGGCATTCCGTTCAGATGGTATTGCCGCGTACTTGGGGTCTGATTTCCGAGACGCAGAATGGTGCATTTGTTCAAATTGAATGACAAGAGCCATCTGCGGGACCACTCGTCCAATCGGCAAAGATTTCTTGGAAGTTGGTCTCATCGGCAGCATTCCGGATGACATTCCAGATTTTTATGTCGTCCGCAAACATGGCACAATCACAGTCCAAACCATCTACACAATCATTGATAAACAAGAGAAAGAGGGTTGGTCCGAGCACCGAGCCTTGCGGGATCCCATTCTCTATGAATGTGCACCTTGATTGCTGTTGTTCTACGCAGACAATTTGGGAACGGCCGACAAGGAAATTTTCGATCCATTTGAAAAGTTTGCCACTGATGGCCATAATTATCTACTTATGTAGGAGACGCTGGTGCGGAACACTGTCAAACGCCTTCCGGAAATCAATATGGGCCACGTGCAGAGTGTGTTTTGCGTCCAATGCTCGTGTCCAACTTTGCATTGTGTATAGCAAGTTCGTAACACATGATCTTCGCCTACGGAAACCATATTGTGCATTGGACAAGAGGTTGTGCGTTTCCAAGTAAGCCATCAACTCCTTTTTGATGGTTTTCTTTATCACTTTGCAGCAGATTGATGTCAGACTGACGGGTCTGTAGTTCGTTGCAAGAGCACGACTACCGCTTTTGTAAAGGGGTGTTATGTGGGCCGTCTTCCAATCTGTGGGAAGGATTCCAGCATCGAACGATTCCTGGCACGGAAAGGATAGTGGTTTGGCCAGCTCTCGGGCCAGCTCGAAACGCAGCTTTGCTGGGATCTCGTCCGGACCGGGAGATTTACATTCCTTCAAGCTTTTCAGTTCTTCCAATATCGCTTCTTCTCGAAACACAATATTTTCGATAGTGGGATCTCTCATGGTCTCAGAATTAGATGGGGTAAAGTCTGTTTCTCTTGTGAAAACGGATCGGAAAAATTGAGAAAATTGCTCAGCCTTATTTGTACTGTCCGATATCTCCAAGCCGTCATCACTCCTCATAACAGGAATGGGATTCCTGTTACGTGTGCTTTTCCGCAAATAGCTGTAGAGCAATTTCGGATTTTTTACGGCTTGGTGGAGCAAATTACTCTCAAAATCCCGTCGCCTCCAGAAAATCGGACTTTTCACCTTATTTCTTTGAACTTTGTATTCTGTAAACGCTGCATTGTTGTTGTTCTCGTGAAATGTCTTCCATAACCTTCCTTTCTTCTTGATCTCCTTCTTGAGTTCTCGTGTTAGCCACTGAGGGCGGTTGGATATCCTAGGCTTTGATAAGGGACAGTGGTTCTTCATTAGATGCAGTAAACGATCCTTGAATAAATTTCAGTCCTCGTTAACGTTTCCGGAGAAGAGAACATCCCAGTCTATTTGAGATGCCTCAGCTCTCATTTGGCGAAAGTCCCTTTACCATATATTTGGCCTCGTATTGTCTTTTGTACACGGTTCAGAATACAGCAAGTACTCCCATAAAAGCACTTCATGATCACTTCGACCGAGCGAGGGTAGGTAGTACACCTCGTGTATACTGTCAGGATCTTTGGTAAAAACGTGGCCCAGACAACTGGCCTGTTGCCCTCCACCAGCTCTAGTTGGAAACAGGACACGTTGCGTAAGTAGAGCTTCGAGGGCTGTCTTTAGTAAATGGTACTCGAAAGTATTCATCGAGCACTTCGCATGCATATCGCTCCATTGAATGCAGGGTGCATTAAAATCCCCCATGAGAACAACGTCTGGTCGGCTGGCGATCTCTTTTATGCTTTTCAGTAGAGAAGTATCTAGGTCGGGATCCGCCTGCGGGGGCCGATAGATAGTTACGACTTCGAGGGACTGAGATCCCGGAGCCTTTATAGTCAGCCAAATTGCCTCTGTGTCGTTAGAAATCTTTTCGGTCCTCTCACACACTGCTAAGTTACTCTTGACATACATGGCAACTCCTCAACCCAGGCGGCCTCTCCTGTCTCTCCTAAACAATTGGTAACCTGTTAATGCTACCTCGCAATCACCAACGTCCTGTGACAGCCACGTTTCTGTTATTGCTATAACATCGGGAAGAGTATCGGCTACCTGTATTCTCAGTTCGTCAAGCTTGGAAAACAGACTCTGAGCATTGGTGTAAAAGAATTTTAGTTTGCAACATTCAAAAGTGCTTCGTTCGGTTTGTCTCGGGTTTGCCAATATTATGTTGCTGCCGCCATCATGATGACTGGCTGGTTCCAAAACAACATCGCGTTCCTCTGTATCACTCGTCCCCTGAAAATGGCCACGTTGTTCTCTCCCGCTGCAAGTCTCCTCTTCAACTCCGTTACCAATTCGCGGCGTTTCAGACGTTCGGCTGGATAATAGTCCGGCTGAAAAAAACTTCCTTGTAAGAGTTTCGGAGGCTGCTTTTCCTGGACAGAAGTAAGCTAGCCTCCTCTTTACTGTTCAAAACAATTTTTAGAGGTCGTGGCCGCACGGTTTCCGATTGTTCGCTCACCTTCTTTCCGATCCTGAAGGCTGCGCGAATGGTTATCTGTTCATTCGAATTAAGCATTTTGTTCAGTAGGTGTTGAAGCATATTAAGGTCAGCGGAGATCCTCTCCTTCGGGGTAGGAGCATTCGACTCCGATAGGCCCTGGATGACTACGCAGTGCTGACGATCAAGGGGTTCATTTGTTCTGTTTCCGGCGGCCTTGTCAGCTGAAGGTCTCAGGAGATCCACCGGAGTCGTCTGGGGTTCTATACTCCCGTTGTGGAGCTTACCCTTTCCATCTTGCCATGAGCTAGTTTCCTCACTTCCAAATGAGGGTCCTATTGAACACGCGGAATGGCTGAGAGAAGTTGATGGTTCGATTGGGTTGTCCTTCATAGAAACAACAGACTCCGTTGCCATTTTCCCATCGTCCTGGGTATCGGCGCCCTTGTACAGAGGTTTTCCACAAGCTTTGTTCTTTGGCTGTTTTAGAATTTTGCTCTTTCCATTTTTCTTGCTAACTTTAGCACTCTTCACCGCTTTTTGCACACTATCGTTCGCTTTCACGAGTTCCCTTAAAGCAGTCAGTTCTTTTCCGAGTTTTTCGACTTTCAGCAGGTATTATTCAAGCGGCTGGCATCATCAGAGCCCTTTTGGACCAAATACTATATCAAAGAATTGACTCGAAAAATGTCCTATCTTATTCAAAAGTGGAGGATATTATTTTTAGTGGTTTTTCTGTGAGATCTAACGATTTTAGTACCTGTTTTTTTGGTTGAATTTCCTAAAATACAGGCCTTTTCTCTAAGAACTGCCCGCTGCCATCTCCTTTCGAGTTTTGCTAGTCTATGCCCGCTGTTCACTAATCGCACTCTGCAATTCTCATTTTGTGCATCCGATTCCCCTCTAACTGTTGTAATTTATTTGTACATCGTTAGCCCCTAGCTGAAATTCAGTCAACTTGTCTGCCAGAAGTTTTCTTAATCACAAATTGCCTCGAGACAAGATGAGACCAAAAGTCACTGATCGACGTTAGCTCTCGGCTCTTGTAAGTAAACATGGCCTAACTAAACGTAAGTCAGAAGCTTTACCTAAATCTAAGTCAGATGATATCACTAGTCAGTCGTCACCCGTTGTAATTGGTCGGCAGCTTAATCTGTCTGTACTTGACCACTGCAATGACTCTATGCTAAAGTTTGGCTCTTTGCTGACAATTCTTGGACATTTATTCGACGGGAACATCTCCGATATTCCCTCTGAAGAATGTAGGCGTCTCGACTCACTTGTTCACCTGATCGCCAGTGAATCTAGTGATAGACAGAAGCGTTCTTACAACTTCCTGCTAAAAATGTTCCTCGATCTGCTCGGCCAATTGATGTTGCGACCAGTTTCCTGTATTCATGTGGTTTCAACTATAAAATAGCGGATGCCAAACGCTTGTCCTCCCGTAGTACAAATCCACCCATCTTAGTCAAATTGTTTTCATCAATCGAGGTTGACACAATCTTTACCCATCGAGAGCGTGTCACTGCGTACCTAGAGAAGGCAAAATTTTTCCTTTGTCATGATCTTACTCCTATGGAGCGTAGAATGGGGTCTCTATTCTCACGTAAACCTACTGCTTCTCAGTCTAATGCTTCCCAACTCGGTCATAATACAAGTGGCCGTAAGGATTCAACTTCTCCTACTCCTGCGACATTTGACTCCCTCCTTCCTCTTTCTCCGACATCTCCATCTCACTCGAACCACTTGACGCATTTGCCTGCCCCTAAACTTGCAGCAGCAGCAACAGCAGCAGCCCCATTTGTCGTTTCGTATCCTCCGGATAGTCCCGCTGAGACACATGAAAATCCGTCTACATCAGCTAGACCAATAACTTCTATTGTCCAACTGGGTGCTGTAAGGTCTACAGCTAAGTCTCCTGTGGCTTGGCGTCAGAACGGTGAGACTCGAAAATTGAATCAGACTCCGACCCAAAAGAAAGGTAGTACAGTTCCATTTGGAGGTACGACGCCTTCTCTTAGATCTAACAAGTCTGTTCAGCTCAACACGTCTACAAACCCCGCAGCTCCAATTATATCCCCGAATAATTCTCTGTCCGGCGTACCGGTTACTTATCAAAGCCCTACTATATATCCAGCAAATAATTCATACATGAATTGCCCTAAATCATTTATGCCCCTACCTAGTTCAGGCTTCCCACCACTTAAGGCCAATTGCTCTCAGGTACGTCAACCTATCTCCTTTGACTTCCAATCTAGACCTGGTTTCCCACTATTTCATTCTTTTAGTGGCCTACCCTCACCCATTAGCCCCTACTTTCCTCCTAGCCTCCCTCCTCCTCCTCCTCCTCCTCATCCTCCTCCTCCTCCTCCCCCTCCCCTTCCTCCATTATTTAACTACCAACAAGTCTATCCATGTTCTAACTCCCCTAGCATTCCAATGTTTGAAAACTATATCCCCACCTCCTTTAGGTCTCATACTCAGCCTTCTCTTGCTGACTCCCCATACGTCAATAACTCCAAATTAACTGGTACTTATTCTCCAAGTGTCATTAATTTGCAGCTTACATACCCGCCTCCAAATTTTTTTTAAATACCGTCGAAAATAGCATTGCCGTTCGAAACACATTAGATATTATATTATTGAATGCCTGGTCTGTTATAAACAAGATGGCCCAAATCAGAGCCATTGCTCTGGAAATGACGCCTGATATTATATGTGTAACAGAATCTTGGACACATTCTCTAATTCCTGACTCTGCCATTCTCATAGATGACTTCAATTTTTACCGCCAACACCGCACGACTAGGCGTGGGGGTGGTTGTCTTCTTTATCTTAAATCCTACCTAAAGCACTCTCCATATTACTTGGATGTTTCCTCATTCACGGGAAACTTCTGCTTTGCATCTGTTATTCTCTCGCCGCAAAGAAAGGCAATTATTGGCTGTATCTACAATCCCCCAAATTTTTTAGCCAGTGATGATTCTAAACTCTGTGAAATCTTTAAATTAATTTTGGAAGCTGCTTTCGATGTGAAAATAATCACTGGGGATTTTAACCTTCCTGAAATTGACTGGGTTTCCAATAGCTGCCCACCCAGATTCCAGTCCTTTCAAGATATTATCAATTTTTCTAATTGGTCCCAACTGGTGCGCTCTCCAACAAGAGATAATCACATTTTAGACCTAATCTTTACCAATGACATTGCTCCTCTTTCTGTTGCTTTAAAAAAGGACCTCTTTGACAGTGACCACGTAT